GTAGGGAAACAGCTATTAACATTTAGCCTTAGAGCCCTTTCCCACCATATACCCGGATGTGTGTTCCAGGCCCAACCTGGAGAAATTCAGTGCTTCTACCCAGAAAGGTTTTAATTACAAAGGCATCTTCAATTAGTTCAACTACATGAACCAGGGCCTTCACAGTAACAGGAATGGCTTCTCTTTTGTGACCACAGGTGCTACAGTATCCAGAGACTTTTCCTCTGCTGTCTCAAATGCCCAGTGATGGGGGCCTTTCATGCACCTTGTAACCAGTCTCCTGCACTTAGGCATCTGCTGCACGTTGCTCCAGCCCAGCTCCCTTTTGTAACTACACATATAAATAGATATTGAAACCAAACAAAATCATCTAGACAGCAACCGCAATCCAAAAGGAAGAACTAATATTTTTTAAAATACATTAAACAAATGTATTACTTTGTTGCAATCAATTCATATTCATTAATTAAACTTCCTTGCACTAGTCACTTAAATGGTCTTTATATAATAGCTAAGATTTATGGGAGCTTAATAGGTGCCAGAAACTGTGCTAAGGCTTTATAAGCATCATCACTTTTCATTTTCACTTCTGAGATTGGTACTGTTACGTTCCTCATTTTACAACTGAGGAAACTGAAGCCAAAGAGGTTTAGAAGTAATCCGAGGCCACACAGCTAGAAAAGCCCATTAACCAATACCCGTGCAGTTTCTCCTGGGAGCTGGGAAGCATTTTAAACACCATGGACACATGACACATAATTCTCTGGCTCCACATCCCACAGCCTCTGCTGCACTACTCAGCCCTCCTTTATTTCCCCAATAATTGTCTGAACTGCCTAATGTCATTGGTTTTGCAGTCCTTTTCCGGCCCCTCCTAGATTCATGCTCTACTCATCTAGCATCCCCAGGGTGTCTTCCAAATTCTTCTAAGTTCCATGGCCTCCAAGGACATTTGCAAACTACTGGCACAGGAGACCTGCCTCTTGGTACACTTCATCTGTAGAAACTGATGTGGATTTCTAGCTCCCAGAAAATTTTACTGGCAGTGCTTCCACCTCATGCAATTAAATGGATCTTCTGAAAACATGTCCTCTCTGTGGACAAAGGTAACTCCCACTGGGGATAATCTCCTCTCACCTCAAACCACTTTTCCCCAAACACACCCTCACCCGCATAGACACACATCCACAGCTGCCTGGCAAAGGGGAACCCAAGTCAGGCCCAAGTCTGGCATAGACTTCTCTGAGAGCTGATCTAAGAAAAGCTGTCAGGAAGCCAGCTCACCTGGGACCACGCTGTCTGAAGCATGGCTGCCGTCCCCTGACTTCCTGCACTGCTCTCTGATTTGGGAAGAGGAAGAGTCTCAGATCTAAGGAGAAAAGAGCTCCAAGGGAAACTGCCCCTCTCTCGCAGCCCGTATGTGCATTACTCCCCTTCACATCTCTCACCACCATCCCTGGGCTCCCTTAACAATGACTGCCCTACCACTCCATGGCAGCCTGGCCCCTCCCTTCACCCACAGTTATAACTGCTCCATCCACTTGCTGGCAAGGCACAAGGCTTCTCAAAATATGCCACAACACTACATTATCCAGAACTGAGCCTCGGCTAGAGGAGAATCCTGGCCTCAGCGACTGCTTGGGTTGGAACAGAAAATTTTTACTGAATATGTCCTGTGACCCTGAACAGTGACAAAGATTCTGTCCTTGACCAGACTCTTGGCAGGCTCCCCTGAGCCCCTTCTCCACTAGGCCTTCAAACCCTGGCCTATGAAGACATGAACAAGACATTAACATCATCTCTAACAGTTCAAGGCCACATCCCTGGGATGACCGTACCCCCTCTTAGAGGGTCTGCTTGAGAAAATTCAAGGTTGTCTAAAGAATATAGTGCTTGTTCCACCCAACTCCTGAAGATAGTGCCTCTGTCTCCCAGTCTCTGTGGGAGGGGGTAGGAGCCTAACTTCCATAAGCGCCAGTTAGTAAACCCAGACGGGTTTCACTTGACTTCCCTGCTTTACTGAGTCTCCACTCGCCCTCTCTTTACTCTCTCATTCTCCCTTTCAAAGACCGGGTCACCTCTGTACAAGTCGAAGCTGAGTTCAGTTCACCCTGGACACTTTAACACGATGACCAAGAGAGGTCTCCTCTGGAGAGAAAGGGGGCGCCTGGACCGAGAGAGGCTACAGCACAAAATGCTGGTGGAGGCTTGGCAGCGGGTCAAAACAGGAAAAAGAGACGCTCAAGTGGACCGGTGGGTGATGCTGGGCGCACGCCCGCTCAGAGCGGCGGGAAGCAGGCGACACCGACATCTCCAGCCGCCAACAAAGAAGGCGGGCACAGAAAGCCCTTCGGAGGAAGACGAAAGAACCCGCCACCGCGGGCAGGGGCGCGGGCCTCTTCGGCCAGGCTCTTCCAGGTCAAGGCTCTCAAGCCAGCCAAGAACACGAATGCGCCAAGCCACCTCGCCTCCGAGGCCGGGATCACCCCGGCGGGCGACCAGCACAACGGCCCACTCTCTCGCCGAAGGGCGGGCTCCACCAGACCCCGCCGAGCCGGAAGGACGGCGGGAGCCCACCGTCCGCTCTAGGAAGCCCGGAGGTTTCCTCTCGGTGGTGCCGGTCCAGGGCGCTTACGTGACCCTCCCGCTTCGCCGGGCCCTATCTCCGCAGGTTGGAGATGGCCAGTGGCGGCGGCGACGGTCTTGTGGCAACCCTGCCAGCCTAGATCTCAGCGGCTGGCTGCAGATGGGGCCGCAGCAGGGCTGGTGCAACTGTGATCGAAAAGCGGGGATTCTTGGCCTCCAGGATGTGACATCATATATGGAAACAAATGTTTGTATCTCTTCTTAATCCCTCCCTATTCCTGGGACACAGTCCAAGGGTGGACTGGTAAAGATTAACCTAACAGTCTGAAGTTGGCTCAATCGCTGTTCCTTCTAACTTGTTAACAAGGCAAAATTTCACATACTAAGTGCTAACTTTCCCGGAGAAGGCTAGAAACTAGAGAATTAGCTCGATTTCACACTATAAATGCTGAGGACTGTCAGCGGAGCACATTACAATTTAAACTGAACTGTAGGAGCAGACAGAAGTTTGCCTCACAGCGTGCCTAATCTCTGTTATGTGTAGGGTACAGGGAGTGCACAGAATGAGATCTCCCTGAAGGTGCTGCTTAGAAGTCTCAGCTTGGCGGAATGAGGGCAGGGGCGGGGGCAGTTAAGGGAGACGCAGGGAATACCCTGCTGGAGGCTTATTCCTTCAGGAGATGTGGCAGTGGTAGCTAGATTAAGGGAGAAATCACGCAGCCACATTGTTTTTCTGATCAACAACCCAGCTTCCACTTTGGAGTGACTGTGAACAGAGAAGGAAAAGTGGGAGAACTATAACCAGGAATGAACTAGATGGAGAGCTATAACCAGGGAGCCAGCCTTGCCACTGCTGGGTCAACTACACACATACACCCCAAAGGAAAAGGCCCAAGAGCCACAGAGATTCACCCTCACTCAACCCATGGCCAGAAGTACCTGTCTACCCCAAACACAGAGCACAGAGGAAATCAGAGGGGTTATCACTTCACATAACC